CAACTTTTATTTTATGTACCAATTGGAAAAAATTAGAAAATGCATAGTTTCTGCAGTTGCTATGTTAGTTGTCTGATGCTGCTAGGTTAGTTGTCTGATTGTGCTAGGTTAATTGTCTGATTGTGCAAGGTTAGTGTCCGCATTTTAAGAGGTGGCCTCATTTTAAGAGTTGGCCTCATTTGATCCGCCCCCTATATATATATAATTGAAGCTATTGTTTATAATTACGTAATTTATATTTATTGTGAATTATTATTAGTTGGTATATGCATTAACTACTATATAATATAATAGAAAAATACAGGATTACGCTCAATAGGATGTATTAATGTGAGAAGTAGAAAAATAATAATGATAAATTCCGTAGCCGAAAATGGAAAAAAAATTTTAGAGGTTTTATTAAATAGGTAAACTTAAATGGTAAGCTAGCAATTATATATATATATATGGGATAAACACAACTACTTGAAGTGCTCTTTTTAACATTTGAGATGAACCGGTTTTGCTATGAAGTTGGCTCTATAGTAGAACCAACTTTCTATATACAACAAATAAACCTATCATATTAATAAAATTATATTAGTGTTATTTAAGTAATCAGGGAATATGGTATGATTTATTTGTTGTATATAGAAGGTTGACTCCACTATGGAGCCAACTGTTGGCTTCATAGCAAAACCATGAACCAAATATATATATTTATATTTGGAAATAATTTTAATTTTTGTATTGATGTTATTTTTTATACTATTGATATTATATTATTTTAAAAAACTATATTATATTTTCAATTTTTTTTTTTTATATATGTACATTCACACTCATCTTACATAATAAATAAGTGTATATTTGTTTTATATTTTATTAATTGATATAAAATTATAAATATATAGTTACATAGACATGTACTAGCATATATAATTATTTATAAGTTAATTTTATGAACCAATATATAATACATAAATATCTAAACATAAAATATTTTTTTAATATTTATAGATACAATTTTTCATAATTTTATTATATAAATATTTTATACATCTAAGTAAAATATGAGTAAAAAATAAATAACTAAAATTATTTTCAATTGGTGTATTTAAAATTTATTATTTCTATAAATAATTTTAAATGTAGTTTGATCGTGATAATATTACAATATAATATATATGTAATATATTGTATGTATTTATTTCTTATTGTTAATTGTTAGTTTTATTTTTTTACAAACTAAATCTTGAATGTATTCTATAAACCATTTATTAAATAATGAATGACTAGCTAATTTATTCCTAATGGATCTTTCTCATTGTAATGATAGTTCCTTCTTAAACATTATACCAATCATAAGATTATATATGAGTAACAGAATGATCATTTTATTGTTATATCATTATATTATCATATCAATCATCTCATAAGATGCTATAATTTCATTTATTTTGTTTTAAACGGTAGAATATTAATTTTAAAAAGAATACACACATATATTGACAAAGTAAAATTGTTTAAACCGTTATGTTTGTGTAACTTATAACAGAATTGATATTACACTTACATATTTATGATGCATAGCAGTAGTTAGACCAGTTGTTGAATTAGACGTACACGTAATAATTAAAAGGCCAATGTTTAGCCTTTTTTTTTTTTTTGTTGTAGCTAGTTACGGTATCCGGAGCTATGCCCCAACTAATTCGTTGGTCGACCCGGGTCGCACACCTGGCAATGGTGGGTGAGTCTCCCAACAAGGGTTTTCTGCATCCACAAGGACTCGAACCCGAGACCTTGTTTAAGCGACATCAAACTGCTTACCACTTGAGACAACCCCTGTTGGTAATGGTTAGCCAATTTTAATTGAATGTAATTTTCATATGGCTATGGTCAAAGTTCAAACCAAAATTTCCTAAATTCAAAATTAATAGATTGATATAGCAATATATGTATATAAGATTCTCTTTTAAGGAATTAATTATATATTAAGAAAATTAGATCATTACTCCTACTAATTAATCTGAATTCGAAGACCAAAATACAGCTTAATTAAGAATGAAATACAAACATATTTAGGACTCTAATCAAATTGCACACATAAAAAAAATAAAAAATAAAAATAAAAATAATAGTCAAAATCAAGACATCAAAATTGTTCGATTGTTACAAATACATGAACCGTCATAAGCAAGTAACTGCCCATAATTGCCCCATCCTTACTTGTAATTACACACCTGACCTTCAATCTGCCCCTATATATACATAACCCTTATTTTAGTTCCCACTAAATACACACTAGCTACATATAAATAAAGAAAAAAAATATATATATTAATAATAATTATAATATACCAATATCCATATCTAATTATCTATTGATCCTCAAAATGTGGAGAAAGAATTTGGGTATCCTATATGTCATGGCGGCCGCCATTTTGGCGGCTTTTGTCGGCAAGGGCTCGGCTGCCGGAGAAGAAGATTTCGTACGGACGAGGGGCAATCAATTCGTGGTCAATGGGCGCCCGTTGTATTTCAACGGTTTCAACTCGTATTGGCTAATGTACATGGCGGCCGACCCCACGACTCGAGAAAAGGTGACCGACACGTTCGGGCAGGCTTCCGAGTATGGGATGAATGTCGCGAGGACTTGGGCTTTCTGTGACGGAGGGTCTAATGCGCTACAAAGTTCGCTCGGTTCGTACAACGAGAACATGTTCGAGGCACGACAAAAAAAAAATAAAAAAAAAATAAAAAAAAAAATATTTACTATTTTTTGCCTTTAAAAATGTGTTCACTGAAATGCAATTTTTGTCTTATTAAATTTTGAAGGTAAGCCATTCAGGTTACAATGGAGTGACATATAATATTTCAATTACTCTAATTTAATATCTTTTTTGCAATTTTACTCCTTTCAAGACCAAACTTGCAACAAAATTCTCAATTTACCATTTTGGGACGGATTTTTTTATTACCAATTTAAATCCTCTTATTTTAATTTTTGTTTCAATTTCAATCCTTAAAAAGACTGAAATTACTTAAATTAACTGTCGTCACAATTTAACAGGACCAAAATTACTTTTTGCCAAATGTGTTATATATTCTGAATGACTCATGTTATCGTTCTTCTAGGGTTTGGATTTCGTGGTGTCGGAGGCGAAAAAGCACGGGATATACTTGATATTGAGCTTGGTGAACAATTGGGAAGGTTTTGGAGGGAAAAAGCAGTATGTTCAATGGGCTAGAGATGAAGGCCACCAAGTGAACAATGAGGATGAGTTTTTCACTAATCCTATAGTCAAAGAGTACTACAAAAATCATGTTAAGGTATTTGTCTAGCCTATTATTCTTAGAAATTACCATTAATTACATGGAGAAAATGTATAAATATTAATGGTAATAAACAAATCGTGTGAGATTTTCTATTTAGTAGTTACGGTAAAAGTCATTAAAGAAGGGGAAATGCTACAGTCTCGTTGCGGAACCATTTCGTCGGGGTTTGTAACCGTTAGATCATCATGTCCGTCGGAGATATTTGATCTAACGGTTACAAATTCTGGCGAAATGGTTATGAAACGGGATCGTAGCATTTCCCCACTAAAAGAAGATGATTATGTGCTTGGTTTAATATATACTTGGTGTGTGCACAGGCCGTGCTAACAAGAAACAACACATTTACTGGGGTAGCCTACAAAGATGATGCCACCATATTAGGTTGGGAACTCATGAACGAGGCTCGTTGCCAATCTGACCTCTCTGGAAAATCCATTCAAGTATGCTATTTAATTACATTCTGATTTTAGGACACATCAAATTAGCATATAATGTCTTAATTTTTATTGTCTTCCTACTTTTGCATAGTTATATATGTGATTGTTCTACAAATTCAAAATTATTCATTTCATAACATATGTTTATTGGAAATTTATAAAGAACGACAAACTCCATTGATCGCATATATCGACTGATTGCAGGATTGGGTAGCGGAAATGGCAGCCCACGTAAAATCGATCGACCCGGACCATCTTGTCGAGATCGGGATGGAAGGATTCTATGGCGAGTCGACACCAGACAAGAAACAAAACAACCCCGGCTTCGAAGTTGGCACCGACTTCATCTCGAACAACCTTGTCCCGGATATCGACTTCACCACAATCCACATCTACCCCGACCAATGGTAACATACATACACACATATTACAACACAAATTCTTGTGTTAGACAGCCTAACAATTAGGCAGGTCGACCTGTAATATTACTCCGTGAGCTATATTTTGTTATATATTTATGTTTATGACATTTTCTAATGAAAGTATACATATTTGTGAAAAAAAAAAAAATATGCCGATCTAATGTTTAGGCTGATCTGATTTGACGTACTTACGTGCGTATATAATTTTGTGTGCATTCGTGGGCCCATAGGATGCCGAGCTCGAGCGATGACGAGCAGGACGAGTTTGTGGATAAGTGGATCAAATCGCACGTGGAGGACTCGAAGTCGGTGCTCGGGAAGCCGCTCCTAGTGACGGAGTTCGGGAAATCGTCGAGGTCGTCGGGATACAATGTGGGGATGAGGGATAGGTATTTCGGGAGCATTTTCAACGACGTGTTTGGGTGTGCGCGGGACGAGGGCCCGTGTGGGGGTGCTCTATTTTGGCAAGTGATGGCTGAGGGGATGGAGAATTGGAGTGATGGATACGAGGTGGTCTTGGAACAAAGCTCCTCCACCGCTGCGGTTGTCTACCAGCAGTCGCGTCAAATTTCTTCTCTCAATTGAGCGATTTATTATGAATGAAGTGTTATTTGCTATTGTTAATGTGACCTGATTATTACTAGTAAGAGTTTGTGACGGGCCTTGATGATTTAATTTAATTGAGAATTCATCAATTTTTGTAATGTTTATATATATATATATATATTGAAGAATATAAAAAAATTCATCAACTTCTATAGTTATATTTGACCGAACACTTTTTTGGAAGATGCTACGTCCTGTTAAGAAACTATTCAGTCGGGATTTGTAATCGTTGCATCAATTATCTCTGACGGTTATATGATAATTCAACAGTTACAAATCCTTTCGCAACCTTAACATGGTTTCAGAACCTTACATTTCCCCACTTTTTTCTATACCATTATTGATTCATCCCCCTATATGAAATTATTGAGCGTAGTTGTATTACAACTTACAAGTATGGCAATTAATGAATTTATATATAAAAAAGCTTTTTTAAAAATAGAAAGAAAATAGAATATCTAAATTTGATTTTTACATATTTTATACAAAAAAACATATTTATAATTTTTTCCACAACATCTTGCAAAACTTAATTTTATAATTTTTTTAGACATAGCCAAATTCTGGTCCCGAGGTTCGGAGGGCCTTCAACTGTCTAGAATATATGCATAGGTCGGTTCATGAACCGGCGGGCCAGGTCGATTTTATTAAAATTATAATAATAATAATAATAAAATTAAAAAATAATAAAAATGCAAAAAAATCAGGCCGATTCAGGTTTCAGTTCCGGATCAAAACAGGCCAAACGGTTCAAAAATATAAAAAATATAAATGTATGACATAGAACCGACTCGATCAAACTGCATGCTCGATTCAAGGCCCATGGACAACGGGGCCAATCCAGGGCCACACCAACGGGCCAGGTTAAACCTAGTAAAACTAGCCGGTATTAGATTATGATACTTTCTCTATTTCATATTATACAATTAATATTGATAAATGCTTTATAATTTGTATCATATTAAATATATAAATTTAATTTAACGCTTATTATTGCGTAATTTGGATTTATTGGTTTTCTTTATTTAAAGCATTAGATATAATTATTTTAATTCCATATATGAAATATAAATATCAAATATGCAATATGATTGTCAAGTCAATATACCAAAAAATAATTCACTTAATATATTATATATAAATAAACATAATAAATTAAACTATTATTAAATTTTAAAATATATTTAAATTGTAAAATTATAAAAAAATCTATTATAGAAAATATAACTAGGCAGATTATATCATCCTTGT